AGAGAACCTTGACTGAAACAACTCTTCAGAGGCACAGATACCGACATATACTGATTAAGGTCTGCCTTTATTATGTGCTTATCATACAGGTGACAAATATTAAATTGAAATCAGTCTCTTAGAAAATTACCTCATGTTGAAAAATGTAGTACAGTAATTTTCTTGTTCAACTGATCAAAGGCAGGAACAAGTTGGCAAGTCCTCCAGAATCTTGGCTACATTTGTCTTTTGAAAAATGGCTTCTGGGAGCTTAGATTTCTCAGGAAGCAGAGAAAGTTCAGAAGGCTGTAAATGTGCTTAACCAGGTACTTTCCCCGTGACACGTCCTTTCCTGGAAAGGTTCTGGGAGGACCAGAAGTATTTGTTGCAACATGTCCCCTCAACCTCTCCACCCCCAGGAGAGAGGGGAACACAGGAGTCAGGCCTGGAAATTGCTGGCTGGCTGGTCAAAGGCAGCTGCAGCCTAGGTGCTAAAAGAGCCCTGGTCATCAGGACTTATGGGTCTAACAGTAAAAGCTAGAAGAGGGGACAGTGTCTACCGAACATTAGCATGTGGCTGAGTTCTACTCAATAACTGTCTTGAAGATTCATCAGATTCTTTTCTCTTCCTGGGATTGGCAAAGGGAGCAAAGGCCTTTCAATACGTTGAAACTGCTGTAATACCTGGATTTCACAGTTCACAGAAATGATAAGCCAACAGTAAAGGGACACCAGGACCTGCTAACTGGAGTGATTCACTCAGTGAACAAAACCTCCTACAACATTCCTGGCTTCTTGTGGGGGAGATAACAAATTATAAAACAAGAAGCTTGCTCACTGTAAGGTAATCTGCAATCGAATAAAAAAGTAAGGCATGTGTATATGAAACAACAACAACAAGCAAAGCAGGAAGAATGCCAACTACCAGATACAGGAAGTAAGTACATAAAAATCAGGAGTTCAAAAGCTTGTGATCTATTTCCCCAAGCTGTAACTCAAGACAGTTCTTATCATGTTAACATAGAAATTTTACTGAGCTGATTTCAAGGCCCAAAGAATAATCAGAAGAGTATGCCTGTATAAGACAGGAAAGCATAAAATAATAGTGATGAAAAGTGTACCTTTTGGAAAGTAAGAAATGACAGAGTAATCTGTCTCATCATTGAATGCCTTGCACCTAGTGGAGCCTTAAATGGATCTTTTGATTTGACTAAGCAACAAATATTTGATCCCTTTCAACATCAGCTATCAAACACTTGTGTTTAGGAAAAAGGCAAAGTAATATTTAGAAAGAAATAAACCCGAGCTCACAGTGTTCAGAAGAAGTCCTCAGACACATTCTCTTACTTGGGCTGAGTTCAAGCAGCTCACTTGTAAATATTACTTGTTTGGGAAAGAAAGTCCAAAAACAGGATAGTGGATACACGCCCAGGGAGGAATTAATCTGTTTTTTTGGTAAAAGTTTGCAATTTATTACAAGCTCCCCTGGAAATGAAGATCCCTGGAACACTGAGTAAGGGCCCTGAAGAGACATGCTATGCAACACCACTACCTGGGGCAGAGGTTGTGGCCTGGACTCCCCTTGACCACTGTGCCAGCCCCCAGCTAACTAGTGAGACTCTCAATTCAATGTAGTAACACTTACACAAGAGCAAAAGAAAATTCCAGTATTTCAGCATGGCAGTCCCCTAGCTAGACCAATTTCACAGCAAACAAAACTGTGAACAATTCCTCAGTTAAGAACGGGCCATATCATCTGTAAGCTACATTCTCCTTTACAAAATATATGAATTTAGAAGCAAGAACAAAAGTTAGGCTGGACAATACTGGAAAATGTTTGTTTTTATTAATGCTACTACCGTAGATTATGGCCAATGTGGCAGTAGGTGCAAAGAAGCTTTTTAATAAACCAAATGGTTATTTATGTTATAACTTTAGGGTCACAAAATAATACAAATCACAACACACTGCCTCCAAGTAATTGCTAATAAAATGCACACCAAGTCCTTTAAACTATTTATAAAATATTAGAGCATACTGTAACCAGAAACTTCTGTAGGAAGTTCTAACCAAGACATAAAATATTATTATTATTAAGTAGGTATCATAAATATAAGAAAATAAAAAATTCAAACTTCTTAGCCTGGATTCAAAAGCTTTCAGAAGCACATTCTAAGCCTTTTTTTCCTTTGGTTCTTATTTCTTCAGTTCTCCTCTATAGGAATTCTGTTCTAGTAAAACTGGCCAATTTATACACTGCATGCACATACCTTCTTCTGAACATCTACTCTAGCCATTCCTCCTCCCCAAAGTGCCCCTCCCTCAGCTCGGCCCTTGCCTCTTTCTGGACTGCAAATTTCTGCCTAGCCCTGGTTAACCTTCTCTGCCTCTCTGACAGCCCATTGCATTTATTCCCTTATGTATCAACAGCTATCTATTGATTTGAATAATCATTTCAACAATGGTGAGGGACAGGAGGGGAGGCTTTCAGCTGTTTAAGCTTACAAATTATTTACCTATTCATAAAGCAAGTACCTTTTGAACACCTACTGTGTACAAGATACAACGCCAGGGACAATGAATAATTCCAAGATGGAACTGACACAAGATTTACTTTCAAAGAGCCTAGAAACTAGTCAGGAAAATAAGATCAATACCCAAATCATCTTAACTAATACAAGCTAGGCAACTATCAATACTCCAGTATGGGTTCTGCAAGAGGGTGGGATCACTTAGTACCACAGGGGGAGCAGAGAAGAATGAGGAGGAATCGGCAGTTGGGTGGAACAGGAAGGAGACAGACATTATTTCCTTAATAAGCTTTCACAAAGGCAAGGAGGGAGCGGAGCTCAGGAAGTTAATGGAGGAAGCAAGGGGTGATGCTTTAAAATTCATACACGTTGTAGAGAAAAGGGAGCAAATGTGAACGTAATTTATATTATGAACTAAAGGGAATTAAACGTATTGAGGAATTCAGATGTCAGTCACTATATTAGGCAGTATGTTAAGTAACCAAGAGATGTGGGAAGATTTCACAGGATAATTATGATCTCTGAGAAAAATCTGTATTATTATAATGTTTTATGATGTTGATTTTTAACTGAATGGTATCCAACACAGTAAAGTCTGCTTAACTAGAATTGATACAAAGAGCTCAAATAACACACATTAAGCATTCTTCAATGTGTTCTATGAATAGGGCATAAATTCCACATCATCTTCTACATCTGTGTGTCTGTACAATGAATGATCTTCACATGAAAATTTAACACCAAGGCAAGATCCTGAAGGATTCTTCTGGAGCACCAAGAAAGAGATGACTTTTTGGTATAATTAAGGAGATGGCATTATACTTTAATGTGTAAACTGGCAATATGTATGTATATATGTAAAATATACAAACAAACATCAATTACACCACACATGTGGTAACTCAGACAGAATTCATCAGATCATCATGTTATCAACCAACTGTAGATTGGAAAAGTCACTGGCATTTTAAAAAATTCCTTCTACAAAATAGTCTTACAATTCCAACAAAACAAGCATGCCACCTATTTCAGAAACTCGTTACACTGAGATTTCTTGGGGGGTGGGCTGGGGGAGGGGGGGACCCTGATCCTTTTAAATTCAGACTGCTTCCATATCCAGGCAGCCTCATCTGACTCAGGTACCATATTCCCATGAACCTACCCAGATCTTTTCACTCTTGAGAGTAAAAGCAGGGAGGGTTATTTGTGGAGAGACTCTCGTTGCCATCAGAAAACTAACTGTGAAGGTATCAACTAGATAAGAAGCAGCCAGTTGATTTCAAAGAACCACCCCCCAAAAAGAAATGCCCGATTTGAAAATGACCTGAATATTTAGAAGCTTCTAAATGGTAGCAGAAGCGGAGGTACAGAGAACTGCTTTATTTTACCTATGATTCATGTTTGTGAGTTACATCTCAGTTAATGAGTCACACTGGGCATGCCAACTTCTTCCTAGTACTCACTGATACTGGTATATGGAAATATCCTCAAGAGTAGATGATCAAGAGTACTGAGAGAATGCAAGTTCTGACTGAAGGTCCTAAAATAAATGTAGGTGCAAAGGTAATGTTTTGTAAACAAAAGATGAGGTTTTACCAACTTATTATAAGATCAGCATCTACAAGTTGTAAGGAACAAAGACTACATCCATCAGTAGACATACTGATTGATTAACAGGAAGACATTTCTACAAATTCCAAATAGATTCCGCTTCCCTTATAGACTCCCAGCATAAACTCAAACCTGGAGACACCCTCAGATGCACCAACCTTGTTGGGCATTATGTAGCTATAATATTTGGAGGGTGATTAATTACAGCAATTGTTTTCACCTGAATTAAAAAAATGATTTTTTTTTTTTTTTTTTCTATTTCAAGTAAGAAAAAAGGCTGAATATTGGGGAAGTTTGCTTGTTTTCTAAAAAGCTAAAAATTAAATTTTTTTTTCCCCTAACCCTTTCTCAAGTGATTTTAGAAGTTTCCATTACTCTAATACAACTCCAGAGAAACGTTTGAAAGGTTACTGGAAGTGACAGATGGGCCTATTTTCAAATAAAATTAAGCCTGTGGTACTACTGAAAGGAAGTCACGAAATCCAAAATTAAACTGGACAGAATGGTCTTAAGCTGTTTTTGTTCTTTTTTCAAGGGAGTACAAAGAGTGGGAGGTTGAAGCAAGGCCACTGCTTCTCATCTGAATCCCCTCACTTGGGTCAATTTGTCTTGAACTGACAAACTGTCTTCTTAAGGTAATGTGTGCCCCTACATTTTAAACATCCACGTATCTACTGTTGAATATCCAAACGTCCTTCGGTGATATCACTAAGAATACAACTCCAATTTTTTATAGCTATAACTTTAAAGACTTAAGGAAAAAAAACAGTTATAAACAACTTGTTGAGCCATTGGAAGCCCCATGTAGGATGAGATGGAAAACGTCCATTAAAAAAGCCACCACACATCCCAGCTCTTCCCAGGAGGAGCTCCGCCTACCTTATTGTGCTCGTACTTGTAGGGGATCTTGAGCGTGTCCATGGCTCTGATCATAGCCTGCATGGCCGTGAAGATGTTCTGATACACCAGCTTGGTGAAGCCCCTTTTGTCTTCATCCGAGTAGCCCGACCCGTGGATGATTCTCATCTGCTTGATAAACGTACTCTTGCCACTCTCTCCTGTCCCTGAAAGAGAAACAACAGCAGCTCATCAGACCATGAGACCTTCTCACAGTCTCCCAGACAACTAAACTAGGAACAGGCCTTGGACATGACATCTCCAAGGGCCTGCTGAGAGGGGCATCACCAGAGGGGGAAATGCCACCTATGGAGAGCACTCAGCAAAATTAGAGGAGTGACAGTCCATTTCAGAGGCAGATGAGCTTTAAAAGAACAAAACACTGTCACCTCTTTGGAAGCCGCTCAGCATGGAATTTTGATAGTGATTTGTAACCACGTATCTTATATGAAACACAATAAAAATAGCACCGTTTGAACAGAATGAACACTTGATAAAGCTCTCTTCCCTGGAGAATGTCTGAAATGATTGCAGGAGGCTGGGATATTTAGCCAGGATTTGGATCTGAAAATGACAATACACTCACACAAACGCTGATCAGAGTGTGGTAAGACAAAAATGCCTGAAAATTTCTAGACATTTTCTCTTATTTTAAAATGGGGTATGTGGAGAACACAGTACCCAGATAAGAATTAGCATTTTTCAGGACAGCAAGTATCAACTGTATTTATTTCCGGGGGCTTTGGTCACCTGAGTTATGCCAAGGAACCACTGAATCCAGAGAAGACACAGTGACTCTCCTTCCTTCTGCCTACTCTTAACTATGACACAGAAATTTACTGTTACTGGGTTTTTTTCTTTTGTGTTCTCATTTTTCCCTTCTTCAATATTCCTTTTCAGTTACCATAAGCCTGAGGATAATCCATAACAAAGCTACAAACGCCTGTGGGGAGGAGGAAAAATGGAAACATGAGATCATTTCACTGAATGACAACATATTTCTTCTATAGTGAATCTGAAACTGTGAATCTAAAAACTTCATTTTTTAAAATATAAGTGGTTTGGGGAGTATGTAACTTCATTTCTGAGTATCTCCCACTCACTTTCAAATTTCCTTGAAAGTTCCAAAACAATAAATGTCTTTGTCTTCTCCTAACAATGTGGGGAAAAAATTAAAAGTTTGTTGGATATTAAACATGGAAGAATATAATAATAACACACAGGATGACTACAGCGTCCTCATTGCCATTTCCTATCAACAAGGCATTAAAGCAACAACAACAGCAACAAAAAGGTATAAAAGGAGAACTAAAAACTAGGAACACAACATCTGTCCTAATTTTGTTTGGTTTTTCTGGTGGTTGGATTTCATTATCTTTATGAACAATCATGAAAAATTCAAATAAGTATCACAGCTTTCATAGAAGCACTCTTAAATGACTACAGATGTCCTGGTAAACACAGAAGCCTCACACAGTTACAGTGAAAGATGATTTCTGGCCCCACTGTCCAGTGGTCACCGATTCCTTTATCCTTTTCATATGACTTTTAATAAAGTGATCTGCAACTTCTTGAAATATAAAATGAACACTTCCTTTATCATTTTCACATGACTTTTAATAAAGTGATCCGGAATTCCCTGAAGTATGAAGTTAACACTGCAATGTGAATGCTATCAACCCATTTCAACAAGATTAATTCCAAGGAGTTAAAAATGAACTTCTTATAATCCCATCCATGAATACTGGGAAAAAAAACCCAGGAAGTATTTTAAAAGCTACAAACTTGTTTCTCATTACTAGTCAACAATTTATAGAAAGAAACCAGTATATTTACTTTCTGAGCAATTCAAAGTATGGAAGCAAAAGACCTAAATCGCTTCTCTGTTTATTATCCTTATCCCAGAACCAACAGCTTGCTCTGAGGGCCCAACTAGAGACATAATCATCAAATCAGAATCTCTGCCAGTTTTTTCCACACCAAAAACAAGAAGAAATCTTAATATGTGAGGTTAATGGTATGAAAAGAAAAGGAAAGAGAATCGAGCAAGAGGCCTCCTCCTAGCTGAGAGGCTTTTATATACTTGCCCTCTCAAAATAAAATCAAGAAAGTAAAAGAAGAAATCTTAAACCACACTGGCTTGTGTGTCACTTAAGTCGTGTTGGGCAAAAGCAGTCAACGCTTAGCCCCTCTTGGGATCTACACTAATTAAGCCCCTAGACATCACCCTAATGAAGACTCCGATTATAGGTGGAATACGGGACCCAAGAAGAATGAAATGGGGAGAGATTAGGAGGAAACAAAAAAGAATCCAAAAATCAACTCCAAAGTAAGACATGTTCCTGTTGCCTCGGATACACCCAGCGATCCTCTCTCTCCATTTTACCATCTTGCTTGGTGGCCCGGGAGGCTGACTGGGAAGGATTTCACATCAACAGCTCTCTTGTGCTCGGTCTTCCTGGGTTTAGTCCATAGGAGACATCAGGAAGAGACCAGAGAGCAAGAGAATGAGGAAGGTGTATCTATTTCCCCAGTTTGCTCCCTGCAAGGGAACCACAGATATGCTGTGTCCCCTTCAAAAGGCCACAGCTCCTGCTGGGTGGCCCCCTCTGGGTGACTGTACCTGCTCCCTCACCTCGCTGGCCCCTGGTTACTGCACTCATTAGCCCTCACTGGTTACCTACACCTGGTCAGCACCTTTTAAACAGTCCCTGAACAAGACTCTTCTCAGTCACCTAGCTGGAGCAGGCCATCTGTTTCCTGCTGAGACCCTGACAGGTAGAAATAGCCAAAGGACAGCATGGGCAGCTTAATAAATGAAGGAACAGGAAGGCAAGGGAATGGAAGTACCCTCTCTTCTTCTTCTGCCCTTTCTCTATGAATCTTGCTGCTTTTTTTCTAGTCACTAATTCACTCTTATAACACTCTTCTGGAAGCCAATCATGATGACAGAGCCCAAAACCAGAATCCAGGGCTCGCTCCTGACCCGCCCCCAAAAGTACTAATAAATCTAATACTTGTCCCCCAGAGTATGTACACGTGAGCCTACCTGTCTCCCCGCAACACACACTTTAAGACTGATCTCCAATCCTGACAGAGGAAACAGTCAGTCATCTCCACCACCTGAATATCCTCTCTCTTATAAAGGAACCAAAAGAAATTTGTGTTCAACCCTTTATACTTTGCCACTTTTAAATATACTGTCATTTTATCCTTTCAAAACTCTATGAGACAGATTTTTTTTCCCTCATTTCGTGGAAAAGAAAAGGCCTTGGAAAGGTGAGGCATCTGAGCTAAGATGACACGGCCGGTAACTGGCAACACTAGAGCTCGAGCCCAGCCTTCAGCTGCCCAATTTTGGTTTGGCAATACTTCCACGGTCATGGCTGCCCAAATCCAGGGTAATTAACTTTCACTGCCCGCACTCTACAAATGTCTCCACCTGGCTTTGACTACACTCAACTTTCATCCATCTAAACCTAATTCTGAATTTCTGACTACTACTTCAATTAACAGGGACCCATTTTGATTCTTGGTACCATCTTCCAAGACTGGCCATCCCTCCCAGGTAAATTTTACTCACAAATTTAATACTCACACTTTGATTCTATTGTATAAATGCAGCAAATTCAAAGTGAAGGCAAGCTTCACTTAAGAGAAAATCTGTGTAACGCAAATGTTATAGGTAAAATGATAAAAGTAGTCAAAGTATTATTCTGTAGTATGGACTAAAACATCAACCAAGCAAAAGAACTCAGCTTCTTTGTTCCGTGAAAAGAGTTCTGTCATGGAGACAAATTAACAATTCTTCACAAATGTGTAAGCCAAATTTCATGTTCTTCTCCTCTTTTCATAAACTTATACAATATTCTCAGGGTTTGAAAAGGACATTTTATTTCATTTAATTTATGCATGTTAATGGGTTTTTTCCCCCTATACTTTGGCTGTGTTGGGTCTCAGTTGTGGTGCGCGGGCTTCTCATTGCAGTGGCTTCTCTTGTTGTGGAGCACGGGCTCTAGGTACGCGGGCTTCAGTAGCTGTGACACACAGGCTCAGCAGTTGTGGCTCACGGGCTCTAGAGCACAGGCTCAGTATTTGTGGCGCATGGGCTTAGTTGCTCCGCAGCATGTGGGATCTTCCTGGGCCAGGGCTTGAACTCGTGTACCCTGTGTGGGCAGGCGGATTCTTAACCACTGAGCCACCAGGGAAGTCCCAGAAATGGACATTTAAAAAATCTACTCAGGATTAGAATTGAAAAAAAAAAATCTGTAACAATAAAACAAACCCCCAGCTGTTCCAAATTATAAAAATGATGCTTCCTAAGGCCACATGGAAAGCATAATGAGAGACTTCACAGTTCTTTATCTCTGAATGAAAGAAAGCAGACTTCTACTAGTAGGTTGCTTTGTGAATCCAGTGCTGGCTAATCTCTTTTCACAGCAGAGAGCATAAGTAACTCTTAACTTACCTAAAGAAATACAAATCTACTATCTTATCAAAGCCATTGATAAAATCAAATCTAGGAAGGAGCCCTTACATTAAATCTAGGGAGTGGGAGGCTCCGTCTTTGCTAATTTGAATATATCTCCAATCATATTATTTAATAACAAGCATCACACACACAAGGATGTGAGTCCAGAAAAGTCCTGCTTTTCTCCTTCATTGGTCTCTATAAATGTGGCTGAAAATTTTCTCTAGAAAAGTTATTTGTACCTTTGTTTAAGTACTATGCCTTTTCTCACCCCAGCCCAACAAAACACCCAGAAATGAGACTATTTAAGAATCATGCTATTTGGGACTTCCCTGGTGGCGCAGTGGTTGAGAATCCACCTGCTAATGCAGAGGACACAGGTTCGATCCCTGGTCCAAGAAGATCCCACATGCCGTGGAGCAACTAAGCCCATGCGCCACAACTACTGAGCCTGCGCTCTAGAGCCCGTAAGCCACAACTACTGAGCCTGTGTGCCACAACTACTGAAGTCTGTGCACCTAGAGCCTGTACTCCACAGCAAGAGAAGCCACCACAGTGAGAAGCCCGCGCACCGCAACGAAGAGCAGCCCCCGCTCGCCGCAACTAGAGAAAGCCTGCGTGCAGCAACGAAGACCCAATGCAGCCAAAAATAAATAAATTTTTTTTTTAAATCATGCTATTTAAAAAGGCCACTTC